TGCCGCCGTAACGACCACCACCACCACTGCCGCCGTAACGACCACCACCACTGCAGCTACCACGGCCAGTGTTGCCGCTACCACCACCACCAGTGTTGCCGCTACCACCACCACCAGTGTTGCCGCTACCACCACCACCAGTGTTGCCGCTACCACCACCACCAGTGTTGCCGCCATCACCACCACCAGCGCTGTCGCCATCACCACCACCAACATCAACACCGGTATCATCTTTATCTTAGTAAAAGTGAAAAGAAGAATCAGTCTAATGTTATACATCGGCAGGTTAGTATGTCTACTTTTTGCAATGGGATTATGGGGGGGGGGATCGCTATTTAATACCCCATACAGACTACGAATTTGATATGGTATTAAACTAGCACGCGCCAGGCCTGCGCCAAATTTGTGCAGTGTGTACACGCTATCCCGCTCCAAATACGCGCTGGCCTGCTCCAATTTGGCCCCGCAAATGAAGGAGGGCCAGGCCCGCGATAAGTTATCCGCACCAAGCTGTGTCTGTCAGCATCAAGCAGGCCAGACCCGGTGCTAAATCGCAATACGCATGCGCATAGCCTCATTAGGTCACGTAATTGTATGCTCGCTGTACCTCGCTGTCTGCGGGGTGACGTGGCAAGCTGAGCGGAGAACTGCTGACTCATTTAATGTAGGATCAAATATGCAGTCTGTACGCTACGATTTGGCGCGTGGCAGGCCCGAGCCTGGCGCGCGCTAGTTTAATACCATATCAAATTTTGCAGTCTGTACGGGATACATACATTGCGTGTGGCAGTTATATGCAAGTCGAGACTACTTGGTTGAATTGTGTTGTGCAGAAGGTGACGCCTTCTCAATCTTTGTATTTCTCTCTCAAGTAACGTAAAACGAGCAAAATGTGCGCCACCAACGATGGGCTTGCTGAGAGCAGGGTGGTGACTTATAGTTAGCATTGCATTGATCGGTGTGTGTTTGTGAAGTGACCTTATCTGCCGCAATAGCCGCGGTTCGTATGTCTAGTCGCCATTATTTTTCTGGCTGGTTCACCGGGTAATCCAAAGATGATCTCCGTCTCTTTCTCATTTATCCTTTGATGTGAGTTGGCTGGAAAGGACGACTCGCACTTTTGACCTTCTCGCTATAGTTTTTGAGGAGTAACGTTCAAGTTCCACAACGCTAATTAATATGTTGATTTTAGCTTAAAACTGAATAATTGCTACAACCGATACAGGTCTAAAATAGAAACAAAGATATTTGAGCAAGAGACCAGCTAGGGTTAGCAATACGGGCTGCACTCCCACTTATTTGACGGAGATAGTTGACGCCTTGACCCCACTCACACTCACAAATGCGTACACATACGCGTATGTACACGCACCCCACGAATATACAAACGCGTGTATAAACTGAATAAAACAAGTGCCGCAGAGCGACAGCGCTCATCTAACGTCTACTGCGGTGACTCTGTGGTGGAGTGGTGGGATTCTAGTAAACCCTGTTAGTCCCAAATGTGTTCACATACACGCCGAAACAGTGGAATGCACAGGGATGGTATCAGGAACCTTCTCAAAAGAATGTTCGTTGGGAAATTGGGATCGTTATGAAAGTTGCCACGAGATGGCGCGTACGTTTAAGTGTCTTCAGATTAAAGATGGAAGCTCCCATCATACGTAGTACAGGGAATAATTTTCCCGGTATCGCATCGCAATTCGCGATGTATTTTCAGCCATTTGCTACGCATATTTTTTTATG